GGACTATGCTGTTGAGATGGTCTGTGCTATTATGTTTATCAATTGGTGACTTTCTGTTGCCAAGTGGAATTCCATTGTGTGACTTTATCACAATCTGCTTATTCATCCATCTGTGATGGATGTGGCATTTGAGGCTATTATGAATAATGCTGTCATGCATACAGAGCCTTTTGCAGACACATATTTTCATTTCTCTTGGGCAAATATCTAGGAGTAAAACTGCTGAGTCACAGGGCACATGCATTTTAACTTTCTCATGGACTGCCAAACTACTCTGTATTCTTATGAACTTGACCTTTTTTTTTGGTCTGGAATTGCTCTTTTGCCTGTAGTATTGTCTATACTCTTTATTTATGTTAGGTCTTACAGATGGTTTGGAAACAAGTTCTGGGTTTGGGTCCATTCTGAGTGAGATGGAGGGTTAGTGCTATGTTTAATAGACTAGGCAGGAAAGAAGGATTTAAACCAAGTGCTGTGCTCCTTGCAGGAGAGTCCATTTCTAGGCTGTGAGAAAGGCTGCTCGAATCCATCCAGGAAGGCGCTAATCCCAGAAGGACAAGAGGGGTTTGCAGAGGAAACTGTTGCCTGTGGGAAAGGTGGAGGTTTTCTAACTTGGTGGTCCCTTAACTTCCCTGTCCTCACAGAAGGAGAACCCCAGCCAGCTGGGTCTGAGAACTGAGAGTTGGCAAGTAGTGGGTGTAGAAGGGGGAAAGCTTGGCATGGGCTCTTTCAGTTTCTAACAAACAGGAGATGCAAACCCAGTCCACAAGACTGAGATGGGATAGGAAGTTGCTTTGTAATGGGAATAAACAAATGATTACTATTCACCTGTATACCAAAGACTAGCCAATTTAAGTTGCTAGTTTTGTTTGTTGGTTTTTGAGACAGGGTTTCATGTATCCCAGGTCAGCCTTGAACTCACTATGTAGCTAAAGATGACTTTGAATTTCTGATCCTCCTGCCTCACCTTCACAGTGCTTGGATTATAGGCATGTACCACCATGCAGGGTTTATTGGTGCTGGGACTAAATCTAGGGCTTTGTGCTTGCTACCAACTGAGCTACAACCCTAGCCCAAGTCTGTTTTGTTTAAAGTAATTATGCCTGTGATAAGAATTTATCACAATTTTAATTCAGCCAAAGATCACCATTCACCATTTTTCTGCTTGCATGTAGGCACATACTTTCTGGTGTTCTTAAGTATGCCAAAAAGCAATTCAAGTTTCATCAACCAGTAAGAGTGGCAAGTCTCTACATGGTGGCCATCCTCTGGGAGCACCTGGAGAGTTCTAAAGACATTTTGTGTTGTTTTCACCTCATTAACACTGTTGGCTAGCGTACTGCCTGTCTATTGCTACTGAACAAATTCCTGTGCAGGCGTTATATGAGGTATCCCCGAGGCAGGAATTTGGCATTCTGCTTCCAGCTCTTAGAAGACTGCAGCCAAGGGGTCAGCCAGGACTGGGCTGTCATCTGAAAGGATCATCTAGGGAAGGGTCACTTTGGAAGTCATATGGCTGTTGACAGAATTTAGTCCTCAATGCCATGGTTCCTACTTGGTTTGTGGCTGAAGACCACCCTCGGTTTCTTAGCATGTGGGCCTTTTTAGCATGGCTGCTTCCTTCCTTCATCCAAGTATTTAAGCCTAGGAGACTATCAGGAAAGTCTGCTGGTGCAGTAGAAGCTACAGTGTTCTGTAACCAGATCGTGAGAGGGATACCCCATCACTTTTGGTGCTTTGTATTGGTTAGAAGCAAGTCGTGGGCCCCACCACACTCAAAAAAAGGGGATTATGCAATAGTGAATACCAGGAGGCCATCTCAGATTGCCCACCACTGGGTTGCAGCCATACCTGCCTACCTCAGAACCACAATGCCCTGCATATAGTTGCCTGATAGGTGAACAGGCTGTTTTAGTTTCTTTTCCCATTGCTGTGATAAAATACCCCAACACAAGCAACATAAGAGAAGAAGAGTTTATTTTGAATCATAATTCAAGTCACGGTGGCAGGAGCCTGAAGCAGCTGTCTCATTGCATCCGCAACAGAAAGCTGGGTATGGTGATTACCGTGTGCCTAATCGCTTTCTCTTTCTATCTAAACCAGGATCCCAAGCCCAGGGAGTGGTGCCACCCACTTTCAGGCTGAGTCTTCCTACCTCAGTCAACCCAATTAGGATAATCTCTCAAAAGTATGGCTAGAGAGCTTGTCTCCCAGGTAACTCTAGAGTTTTCCAAGTTACAAAAGTAAGAATCAGTGGAAAAGTCTAGCACAGATGGTAAAGGCTGACCCTGGGCCTTCTGTCCTTCTAGACTTGTTCTCACTAGAAGTGCATAGAGCAAATGGACTGTTAGAAATCATATCTGAAATATTAAGACTGGCATCCTACACCAAACCTGAGTCAAAAGAGGAAATCAATGAAGACTGTTTGCTTGAATAGATTTTGGACTGGTTGTTTTTAAATTTTATTTTGTGTGTGTGTGTGTGTGTGTGTGTGTACATGTACATGCATATGCATATGTATATGCACATGGCGGCCAGAGATCAAAGGCAGGCAGGTGCCTTCCTCAGTCACTTTCCACCTTGTTTTTTGACACAGGTTCACTGAGAACTCACTGATTGAGCTAGACTGACTGGCCAGCAAGCCCCAGGGTCCTCCCAAGTCTCTACCTCCCCAGTGCTGGGATTACAGACACACTTCTGTGCCCAGCTTTTATGTGGGTCTTTGGAATTTAATTCAAGTCTTCATGCTTAAGCCACAAGCTAAGCCATCTCCCCAGGTCCCTATTGCCTTCCTTTGTAAGCAATGCTTTATAATAACCTTCATCTGAAAATAAAATCTATTCCTACACATATAATTTCAAAGTATCAAAATGACCTGTAATGTAAAAAAAAAAAAGGAAAACAATTATAATAAAGAATGTCTTAGTATGTAAATGTGGGGCTAGAACAGTGGCTTAGGGATTGAGTGATTGCTGCACAATCCTGAGGGCCAGAGTTTAAAGCGTAGCACCTATGTAACAAGTTAGGTATAACACCCATGCCTGTAACACCAACTCACAAGTGGCGGGGGGCGGGTGTAAATAGGATTGCTGGGGCTTGCTTGCTCCGGAGTCAGTGAGAGACCTTGTCTTACGAAAACAAAGTGGAGAATGATTAAGGAAGACACATGACTTTGACCTCTGGCCTCCAACGTGATAGATAAATAAATTTTAAAATCTTTATGTAAGTGTTCTCAAATAAAAAAGTTGGATCCTTACTCTTGATTCAGATGTACTGCTAACTAGCATGGTGGTACACACAAAGAACAGTGCATTAAAGTTTAGTTGGATACAGTTGTGTAAAGATCAAGGTATATCTTGAGACAGAAGAGAATAAAAATGAATGTACTCAAAGTATTAGTATCGGAGGAGGAAGAGGGGGAAGAAGGGGGAGGAGGAAGATGAGGAGGAGAAGGAGGGGGAAGAAGGGGAGAAAAACCAAAAGAGAGGCCACTCTTAATGAGTTCATTATAAAAGCAGATTGATACTTAAACTTCGGTATAAAATGAAGGACTCGGACTTTATAGTTTCTCGTTGGTGCTGTGATTTCTTAAGAAGATGAACAGTTCTTGGAAACTTTCAGAGCAAAACAAAACAAGCCATTATCCCATAATTTACCTAGTATTTATATTCATGGAAAATTGAATGTGTGTTCAAGTTGTGAAAACAAAACAACAACCAAAACTCTCCTATTGGAGTTAGTCCAAGCTCAGGTGATTCTAAATAAGGTTTTTTTCATGCCAGACACCGGGAGCTATTAGGGCTTTGAGAAAACGTGTTGTACTTACCAGGACATATTTCTGGGACCTGGCACGTCCCCATGCCACTCTTCCCTCAGTCCCAAAAGTGGCCTGAATTATAACAACAAAAAATCTGTTTGGTTGAGCCTGGTGTGGTGGTGTACACCTGTAATCCTAGCATTTGGGAAAAGAGGAGAGTTTGAGGTCAGCCTGCAATATATAAGACCTTGTCTCAAAAATTAATTAAATAAAAATCCTCAAGACTAGAGAGATGATTCAGTAGTTAAGAATGCATCCTGTTCTTGCAGAAGGCCCAAGTTTGTTTCTCAACTCCATATCAGGCAGCTCACAACCACCTATAATTCCAGTTCCAGGGAATTATGACACCTCTGACCTCCACAGATACCTGCACTCATATACACAGATATACACACATACACATAATTAAAATTTTAAGAAAAACGGCTTTATCAAAGTCCCTTGGCTAGACTGAGGATGTAGCTCAGTGGTAGCATGGACTTGCACGCATGAGGCCTGGACTCAGCTCCAAATTCCGGGAGGGAGATAAAGTAGCATTTGGGTTTCACTAGTGGGCAGCAGCATTAGCCATCACAAACCATTGCAGTGGGGTTTAACCTCGAAGTGGTTAAAGGGAAGCACCACAGTAAAGTTTAGTTGAATACAGTTATATAAAAATTAAGGTGTACCTTGAGACAGAAGAGGATAAAAATGAGTATACTCAAAATATTAGCTAAAGTAGAACCACTTGGGCACCATACCTAGGTAAAGCAGAGAGTTGCAGTATTTGCTGGGGAATGAGGCCAAGACAACACCTAAGTTAGGCTCTTTGACTGAACATTTCAAAGAAGACACTTTAAAGTTTCAAGAATATTAGCAAAGCCAGGCCTGGTGGTATGGGCCTGTAATCCCAGCTACTTGGGAGACTGAGGCAGGGAGATTGCAAATTTAGTTTTCCTGGGCTATAAAGTCAGTTACTTAGTGAGACACTCTCTGAGGGGAAAAAAGAGCCAGATGTGGTGGTGCACACAAGAATCAGTAGTTCAAGATCATCCTTGGCTACATAAGACACTAGCTCAAAAAAAAAAAAAAGAGAATGAGTTGAGGCTAAATAGACTGCTTGCCTAGCATATTTAATCCTTGGTACTGAAAGAAAGAAAAAAAAAAAAAAAAACCAACCCTGACAAATTCTTTCTTTTAACAGAAACCTACTTCCCTCCAATCTTGTGGTTGCAACGTTCAACACGGTAAGGTTTCATACTTTACTAAATATATGAAACTTTGATGGGGAGTGTAAATTGCTGCTGCAGGTTTGGTGAAGTAGAATTAGGAGGGCTCCTAATTGTTTCCTGCTTCGGGGATGAGATTTCCTAGGAGAAAGGGCCTTGAGACCATGATTAGGCCTTGAGGTGGGAGGGAGAGCATCAGTCAGAAAACAGCAGTTGATGTGAAGGTCAAATAGTTAGGGCCATACAGGGAAGGGGAGGCTTGCCTTTAAAACACGCAGAGGAGCTTCTCTCGTAGACTAAGACATGGGGTGAGAAGGAGAGCTACCATGAGAGGGCTGGCAAGAGGCCAGAGAAGACCCCAGAGCAGTCCAGAGGGATCCTCTTACAAATGGAACTTGGTAACATTAGGGTTAAAATGTAGAAAAGGCCTTTCTCGTCATTTAGAAAAGTCCCTCAAATCAGTATTTGAAGAATGTACTAAATATTGTAGAATTTTTTAAAATAGAGCTTTGTTCTGATTATAAAGATACTATGTATTCATTACAAAAATAGTGGAAGAAAACAAAGATCCCCCATAATCACTGCCTAGAGCTGTCACTCATCAGCATTTTGGTGTATCCTTCAGATATGTTTTTCCTATGTGTGTACATGTTGCAAATATCAGTATACTATATGTTCTGCTCCCAGGTAGCATACTTTCTGTGGCAGCATATTACACACATTTTTCCTTCTACCTAATGTTAATTGCTATAGTACTTGCTGCTATAAAAATATAACATAGGGGCTGGAGAGATGGCTCAGTAGTTAAGAACATTGGTTGTTCTTGCAGAAGACCTGGGCTCGAATCCCAGCACCCACATCTGATAGCCTCTTCTGACTTCTGTGGGCATTGCATGACACAGGTGCACTGACCTACATGCAGGCAATACATGCATACACATAAAATAAAAAATAATAAAAAAAAGAGTCATACATAGCAAGTTCCAGGACAGCTGGGGCTACAGGGAGACCCTGTCTCAAAAAGACAAAAAAAAAGTCATCATTAAATTATTAAAAATATATATAATATAATTTCCTTTTGATGTCCCCTGTAGGTGGACATTCAGGTTGTTTATAGTTTCCTCATGTTTTTAACAATGTGACAAAAAATATAAAGCCCCATTTTTCACACAAAGAGTGAGTGGAAAGGTCTAGGTGAGATGGTTTGATCTGATTGCCCTTTTTTAGACAAGGTCTCCCTAAAGCTCCAGCACAGCAATCTAATTATCTTTTATGAGCAAAAGCTTTCTACTTACAGCATGGTATGGTGGCGCACACCTGTAATCCTTGTACTTGGGAGGCAGAGGCAGGAGGCTATCTGGGAGTTCAAGGCCAGTCCACATAGCAAGCTCCAGGCCAGCCAGGGCTATATAGTGAGAGTCTGTCTCAAAAAACCAACTGAACTACATAAGCAGTTCCAGGCCAGCCAGAGCTACAGGGAGACCCCATCTCAAAACAAAACAAAACAAACAAAATCCCAAAACTTTCTATTACAGTGTTTCTGTTTTTCATTTTTAATCTGTGTATGAGCACGGGAGTGACTGATATAATGAAGTTCTTGTCACAAACGGATGGGGTGGGGTTGTTTCCTTACTACCCCTGGTCATGGGACAGCAGAGCACTTCTGCCTCTCTGTAACCTTGATAAAGCTGAGAGAAGTCAAAGCTCATCATTGACGACCTCTAAGTGGGCATCGGACAGTTCTGGAGCCAGGTGCCCATAGTAGCTAGAGTGAGGAAGACCTGGGCGCCAACAGAGTCCGCTTGGTAGCACTGATCAAGACACAGTGCATACCTTGCAGAAGTGGGCCAGGTCAGCCAACTGTAGGACCAAGGCTGGAGAGTTGTCTGCTGTTGCTGCTGCTGCTGCTGCTGTGTGAGTCTCCCAAAAGACTGCATCAACAGACACTAGCCTCACCCTGGAGGCAGGGGCTTAAGCCAGATTAGAGACAGATGCTGAAGAGCAGTCACACTCAAATAAGTTCTGGAACACAGCAGTGTGTAAAGAGATGAATGAACTTAAAATGACATGATGAACTTCGGCTTCATGAAATTTGTGCCAAACTTCAAATAACACAAAGCATCAGCAGGGAATTGTGTACATCTTCTCCAATCTATTGCCCGAGAAACAGATGGAAATTCTCCCTGTTTCCTTGGTCCCTAAATAACCCAAAGGCCTCTTGAAGGACTTGGTACCTTGGTGTTAATCTAACTTTTGTGCAGATTTCAGAGGTCCACGTTGAGTCAACCAAGTGAGGCCTGCCCAGAACACCCACTGAATAGCTGGCAGAAGTAGGAAGGCCTAGCCATGTCCTCGGTTCCTCTGGGTGGGTCTTCACTCGGTCACTAATGGGGAGGTTTTCTTCCTTTTCACCAGATTGCAACCAGTTACAAAATGATAACCCACAACACCAGCTCTGGCAACATGACCCAGGAGAAGGTAAGGCTCCTTATAAGATCACTTGTGGGAAACTAATCATCTTCTCAAATAAGGACATATTCATTGTGTCTGTTGGAAGTTTGGGGGTTTGAATAGATATTTAAAGCCTCCAGGTTAGGTTTGCTCCTTTGCTTACTTACTACTATGGCCAAATGCCTGCACTTGTAGGAGGAGAATCTTCAGAGATCTGTAAGATATTTTATAGCACTCCTTCTCCTACCTTGAAATAAAAGTACAATGTATAATAAACCAGTCCAGGGGCTGGAAAGCAGGCTCAGCAGTTAAGAGCACTGGCTGCTCTTGAAGAGGACCCAGGTTCAGTTCCCAGCACCCATATGATAGCTAACAAACTATCTGTTAACTCCAGTTTCAGGGGATCCAATGCCCTCTTTTTATCTCTTTGGGCACTGCACAACTTATATACATGCAAACAAAACACTTGTACACATCAAGTAAATAAACAAATAATAAATCAACAAACAAACCAGTTCATTTTTACCATGTAAATGCACAATTATAATGGAAAACATAATAAAAATTTGCACCTACTTAGAAGTAATACATTTGGATCTTAAAACAGGAGGCCTGGGATAGTAGAGTACAGTTGTAATGCCAGCACTTGTAACACTGGGGCAGGAGAGTCACCATGAGTTCCAGGTCAGCCTAGGCTATACATTGAGACCTTGTCTCAAAAATTAAATCAAAGCAGAGTGAGCTGAGCATGGGGGCAGGTGCCTGTAGTTCCAGTGTGGGGACTGAGGCAGAGGGATCCCTTGCCCCAGTGCTTCAAGCCAGCTAGGACAGCACAGTGAACCCCATCTGTCTAAAAATAGTAAATAAAATAAAAGCAGAAAGAATTCAGCTTAATAGTCTTGGTACTTTTTTAAAAACACTTTTTTTATTTGTATGAGTGTTATGCCTGCATGTATATAAGTTGCACCCATGTCGTGCAGTGCCTGCAGAGGACAGAAGAGGCTTTTGGGTCCCCTGGAACTGGAGTTTCAGACAGTTGTTAGCTGCCATGTGGGTGCTGGGATTCAAACCCAGTTCTTCTGCAAGAGCAGTGTTCTTAACCACCGAGCCATCTCTGCAGCCCCTAAAAACATTTTGAAAAGTGCTAAGTAAATATTTTTGTGTCTGTATGTGCAATCACCCAAATGCCACAACTACAACTAGAGTTGCATTATATTACTTGTTGTACCAGTGACTTGGATATTAGAACCTGTCAACACACTTTTCTAAAATGGCAAATAACACTTGGTAAAGTCAGAACCAAGGTGTGTTTTCTTTACATCATTTTGATATTCTTGGAAAGTTCAAGCTCTCTGTATCTAAACGGACCTAATGTCTTCCTTTGACAAGCCTTTGATCCTCAGGACCACCTCATCCTTGCTGCAACTGGCTTGAAGTGAAGGTCTGCTGAAGTTCAGCAGGGCTGTTTGAAGCTGAGCACGATGCACACACAATCTAGAACACTGCTTGATTCTGTGATGCCTTTAGATTTGGGCAGATGTGGCATTACTGGCTGCTCTGATTTCCCCACTGGAAGTACTGGTGACCCACAAGTATCCCCCCAGATGATATCCCCCTGCCTGCTCTATGAATTCAGGAATGTAAGCTCCTGGGGAGCTGTATAGCCTCACCCATTCCAGACTTTTTAAAAATACATACACGTGTGTGTGTGTGTGTGTGTGTGGCCTTTTTGAGACAGGGTCTCCCTGTAGTTGCAGCTGTCCTGGAACTCACTGTGTAGACCAGGCTGGCCTTGAACTCACAGAGATCCGCCTGCCTCTGCCTCCCGAGTGCTGGGATTAAAGGTATGCGCCACCACAGCTGGCCCTCCAGGCTTTCTTTCATAAAGACATAGGAGGAGTCATCCTTGTCCCCAAGAATGGCAGGGTAAGCAAGGGACCCAGAGGCCAGGCTCTTACCCTGACCTGTGGTTCTCTTCCATACCCGCTTTGATCCCCTGTAGTCGCTTGCTACAGGTACATAGGTAAGCTTTCAATGAATCATTAATTCAGTAAACAGTGGTACTTGGTAGCCACTCTGTGCCCTTCTTGGGTACCAGATTACAGGTGGTACTCACTCTAGACAAAGCCCTGAACTTGCAGAGCTCACATTCTAGTGGAAGGAATCATAATAAATACATATGTCAGCCAGTTACAGGGGCCTAAGAGGAAAATGAAGCAGAGCATGTACACAGGCGGAGAAAGAACATGTGTGTGTTAGGCACATGTGTGTGTTAGGCAGTGGTGCAGTCTTAGCCTTGGTATGCAGGGAGTCCTTCCATAGGTGAAAGGGAGATATGGGAAGACCTGGAGAGCAGACTATGCAAAGGGATACCAAGAGGCACCACTCGGGATGCAGCTGGCTATATCTCTGACTGTGTCTGGTCTCTCCTAACCTTACCCAGTGCCAAATTCTAAGGTGCATTACATCCAACACACCTTACTGTAAACCCACCTACTACCAGCTTCCTCTACAGAAAAGACTCGTTTGGTTGGAAAAATTATTGCCATTGCCCCAAGTCAGATAGTTAGTTCCTTATCTGGAATCACCTGACCTGAAACTCCACACCTGGGAATTGCAAAACTTCTGATTTGATGAGTAGATGAATTCTCTGATTGCATTGGTTCTTGACCCTCCTTTACAAGAGGGCTCAGAATATGGACAGAAGAATGAATCGACAACTCTGAGGTCAGCACCAGGTGCTTGCATGCAGCCATAGGTCCTGGCAGTGTTGACTTCTCCATAGACTGCCAAAGCAAGCAATAGAGATGGCACTGAAACTCAAGTCTTCTCTCTCCATAGCTCTTTAACCCTGCCACTTAATAGACCAAGTCCCAGGAGAGAAGCGTGGTACTCAGAAGTCGATGGGATTACAATAACATTGTAAGAACGAATTCTAGATAAAATGAACCTAGAATGATCTCCAACAAAATATCCATTAAAATCATACTAGAGCTGGGCATGGGGGCACATACCTATAATCCCATCACTTGAGAAATAGAGACAGTAGGATTGTGAGTTTGAGACCAACTTGGGTTACATAGGAAGTTCTAGGCCAGCCTAGGGTACATAATGAGACCCTGTCTCAAAGAGCAAAACAGTGCTTTCCCTTCCTGTATCTTCCTGCTTCCTGTCTGTTATGGTGTGAGCTGCTCTGCTATGAGCTCTTCATCATGATGAACTTAAAACCTCTGAAACCATAAATTAAAATAAATTGTGCCTTCTTTAAAAAAGAAAAACAGCTGGGCTAGGGATGGAGCTCAGTTGGTAGAATGTTGCCTTGTATGCAGAAGCCTTGGGCTTGATCCCCAGGGTCTCATAAAACCAGGCTTGGTGGTACAGGGCTGTAATTCCAGCCCTCAAGAGGCAGAAGCTCCAGGATCAGAAGTTTAAGATCTTCTTTAGCTATATAGCAAGTTCAAGACCAGCCTGGCTACATGAGATCCTGCCCACTCCATCCTTCAGAAAAGATGAATTCTTGTTAGCTTTTATTTGCCAGAGATACTCTAAGTACTTCACTACATAGTATATATTTAATTTCATACCAGGTGCAGATCAGCTACTGTTTTTATCCCCATTTTGTAGATGTGGAACTGAGGCACAGAGGAGTCAAAAAGCTTACCCTAACTCACACAGCTAAGTAGCACTGAGATTCAGGCTTTATAGCTGGTCTTTTGTATTTATTATTTCTTCTACTGATAGAAATGACTGATAAATTTATGTATCAGAATAAACAAAGCATAGTATATGGTAAGAATCTTCCTGTATTTCAGCATTACCATTAAATTTGAAATGTTTCATAATGAGAACCTGGAAGAAATGAAAAACTACCCATCAGTTTTTATGATACAGTTATATTCTTGATCATTGATGCGCAGTCTATGAATCATATCTTTCACCCAGATGTGTCCAGTTGATTTGGAAACTAGCAAAGCCTACTGAGAATAAATTTATGGTAATTTGGAGTGTCTACTTACTAGACATTGGGCCATGTCCTAGCTTTTGTTCTAGAGCTAGAAGGAATTAGGGGCCTCAGAAATATCCAGCTCACTGATTTCCATAATGTGCTCCAGGGCTGCACAGGAAGGGAAAGATACTTCTGCCCTCTGCCCTAGGGTTCACACCTCTTCACCCAAGGCCTGAGGGGCTCCCAGCTCTACCAGCCTTTCTTTACAGAAAGGTTCTTTTTTTTTTTGGTCTTTTTGAGACAGGGTCTCCCTATAGCATCAGCTGGCCTAGAACTCACTGTGTAGACTAGGCTGGTCTTGAACTCACAGAAATCTGCCTGCCTCTGCCTCCCAAGTGCTGGGACTACAGGCATGCGCCACCATGCCTAGCAGAAAAGTTCTATTTTTAAAAAATAGTTAAGGGGGAGCTGAAGAGATGGCTCAGCAGTTAAGAGCACTGACTGCTCTTGCAGAGAACCCTGGTTCGATTCCCAGCACCCACATGGTGGCTACAAACCGTCCTTAACTCCAGTTTCAGGGGAATCCGATGCCCTCTTCTGAGTTCCACGGCATTGCACAACACGGGTGCACTCACATATATGCAGGCAATACACTCATACACATAAAATAAAAATAATAAAATATTTAAAAAAAAATAATAGTTAAGGGAGCAGCAAGATGGCTCAGCTGCCAAGACATTGACCTGAGCTCAATCTGTGGGACCCACATGGTTGAAGTAGAGAATTAACTCCCACAAGTTGTCCTCTGACCTCCCCATAGGTGCTAGGCCATCTGTATGCATGCACACACACACACATGCACACACAATGAATAAATGTTGTAAAAATTATGAAAAGAGCAGTTAAGGGGCCGGAGAGATAGCTCAGTAGTTAAGAGCACTGACTGTTCTTGCAGAGGACCCGGGTTTGGTTCCCAGTACCCACATGGCAGCTAACAACTGTCCATACCTCCAGTTCCAGGGGATCCAGTGTCCTCTTCTGACCACCACATGCATTGCATGACATGGGTACACTTATATACGTGTAGGCAATACATTCACACACATAAAATAAAACTAATAAACAAAAAATATTTTTAAAAGATAGTTGATAGTTACTTCGTTCAGTTCTCTCCAACTTGTACATGAAGAATCTGAGCTCAGAAAAGGCCCAGAGCCAGAACCGGAACTCATCTGGTTTTTACCATGTGGCATGTTTCCTGTATAGCTCTCTGTGAAAATTTTTCTTATTATTTTCATTTGAAGATTTATTTCTAATTATGTATATGTGTCTGTGTGTGGGTTTGTGCACATGAGTACAGGTACCTCAGGAACCAGAAGAGGGCATTGGATCTCCTGAAGCTGTCTTAGCCTCCTAAGTATGGGTGACAGTACCACCATGCTGGGCTATAATGTTCAGATAGGATGAAATGCTTATTTACTTGTGTTTGCAGCATTATTTACTTGTGAGATTCAGCACTGCTGGGAAAAGGCTGTGTTATGTCTACACCTCTCCAGTCAATGATTTAGGAAAGAATATCTGGGGAAAATCTTTGGAGGAACTTGTCAGTTAGGAGGTCAGAGCCAAACAGGCGATTGGTTGGCATTTAGGTGACACAGTTAACAGTCCTTGAGTCGACATCTGAAGGAACTTTCTACCTGTCAGATTTTCTTTTTTGTTGTTTTTGGTATTTTTGAGACAGGATCTTACTTTATAGCCCAGGCCATCACTGGAATTCACTATGTAGCTGGCCTCAAACCCTCAGTGATCCTCCTGCCCCAGCCTCCTAAGTGCTAGGATTACAAATATGAGCTGGCACTGCTGGCTCCCAAGTAAAGTTTTTCTTTGATTGTGTGTCCTCCAACTCTGTCTCCCCTTGTTTTCTCCCTTGTGTTTGTAAACTCACTAAAGGTTAAAGAATATATAAGCATCTGCTTTTTCTAGACACCAAGCACATACACGCTGAAGTCGCACACCTCTGTTGTTGAACTTGAATCCTTCCTTCTCTTCTGATCCTGCAGATCCCTGTCGTCTCTGATATTGAAGGAATGAACATTTTGGGACTGGTTTTTTTTGCCCTGGTGTTAGGAGTGGCTCTAAAGAAGCTAGGCTCTGAGGGAGAAGAGCTCATCCGTTTCTTCAATTCCTTCAATGAGGCAACGATGGTGCTGGTGTCCTGGATTATGTGGTGAGTACCACCTACCACCTGTCTCTTCCTCTGATTTCCTCCTGACATCAAAGAAAGATTTTTGCCATTCTAGGTTACCCTCTGAGGCACCTGGCCCCATCCCCTGTGTGCAATTGATGCACCACAGGCCAGTCACAGTACAAGATGGCTCAGTGAGTAAGAGTGTTTGTCCCACAAGCCTGATGGCCTAAGTCTGATCCTGTGAACCCACAGTGGACGAGAATTAAGTCCAAAAGTTGTCTTCTGGCCTTCACACATACACACACACACACACACACACACACACACATACACGCACACACAAGCACATACAAATAATAAATAAATGTTTTTTAAATGTTTAAAGAGGTGCTGATAGTAGCGGTTATTTCTCCTCTTGTCAAGATCTCAAAGAATCATCATGCGCATAGTCAGTGTTTGGTGCCCACACTGACTCCTTGACTCCTATCACTGTGATCCACATAATGCATTGCACATCAGCCCATATCATGCCTAGTTTGCTATCTGCTGTGGAAAATAAGCTTATTTTATCTTAAAATGATAGACTTTAAGCTTTAAGGAAGTTCATTAGAGTATCTCACAATACAGAGGACAGACCCATCTCTACCCTGCATATGTAAAACTTGGAGTAGTCTTTTATGCAAGCTTTTAATTTGTAAGAAGTGTTTCTTTGTATCATGTTAAAGGATAAATGCTTACTAAAAACATTAGCTTAATTACTGGCTAAAAAATTAATATTTGACAAGCTCCTTCAAAGCAACTTGTCAGAAATCAAGCCAATTGCAGGGCCCAGATCTTACAAGCTTTTCCTGGTATTTCACCTAAGCAGACCTCTGTGAATTTTAGCCTCTGCCTTTTGTTAAAAACTAGTTCATATTTCACACGTGAAGTATTTTATTGTTAACCATTGACAATTCCAGCAATTTTCTCTCAGATGGCTTGAGTGCCAACTGGACTGGTACTCAGAGAAATTTGAAACCAAGATGCCAAATCTAAACCCATCAGCAGTGTTTCTCTTACTCAGTCTGAAAACCCTGTAGCCCAAAGCTCACTGCAAACGCCCCACTTCAGGCCACTCTTGTTCTGTGGTGAGAACTGTGGCTTCTGTTTTGTCTTGGTTCTTTGACAGGGTGTCCTTGAACTTGTTATGCAGCTGAGAGTTACCTAGAGCTTCTGATCCCCCTGTCTCAAACTCCCAAGTCCTGGCAGACCTACTCTGCACCCCCACTTACGTGTCCAGATTACTGAAACAGAAAAAGAATTAGAACATGGACAGGGTATGCAAGCAGGCAGTTCACAGAACAAGAAGCTGGCATGAATACATTCTGAGGGATGCCTTACCTAGTTAGAAACCAGGGAAATGGCAAATTGGCTTTGTCAGGAGTTGATGAAGATGAGGGTATGGTTTTTAACCCTGGTACTTTTGACCTCTGGGGCTGGTCATCCTTTGTTGTGAGGGGCTGTTGCGTACACTATGGTAGGTTTAGATGCCATTAAAACCACACCTTCAAAGCTATGACATCCGAACTGTCCTCCTGACATCGCCAAAAGACCTCTGGAATAATCTCCCCTGGGTGGCCCAGGTAGTATAGGAGGAAGGTGGCTGCTCTAGACTGCTGGGGGAATGGGACTCAGACTAGCCACTTCAGAGAACAGCTCAGCAGCACCCACTAACAATTAAAATGTACACATACCCCAAATCACAGAGCCACCACTTGGTGTTAGAGAACACAGGCACATGAGCACAAAGCGATGTGTTTGCACAGATGAGAGCCTGGGAACATCCAAGTCCAACAGTAGGCCATGGCAGAGTAACCAGGGCATTTCCATTCTGAGGAAATAAGAGACTAAAGGTCCTGGGCCTGGTGATGCATGCCTGTAATCCCAGCCATTGGGAGGTGAAAGCAGGAGAATCAGGAGTTCAAGGACAGCCTTCACTACATGTGACCCTGTTTCAAACCCACCTCCCCTTAGAGAAAAAAATCAATAAATGAAAACAATATGTAAAGGTAGAAATAACCCAACTATTGTAAGTTGATGGATAAACAAAGTGTGCTCATCACAAAATGGAGTATTATCCATTCTTATAAAAAATGAAATTCTGACATAAATCACAAACAGACAAATATGTATGATTCTGCTTTTCTATACCTTTGAAAAGTAGTTATCAGGAGCTGTTTGGGGTAGAGGGGGTGCGGGTTTGGAGCGTTACTATTTAATGAGTCCAGAGCTTTGCTCTGGAGTGACGGAAACATTCTGGAGCTGAGAGGTGGTAATGGCAGCCCAGAAATGTGTACTTAATGACACTCAACTGTACACTTCAAATTGTGTAAATGTGCCGGGCATGGTGGCACATGCCTTTAATCCCAGCACTCGGGAGGCAAAGGCAGGCGGATCCACTGTGAGTTCAAGGCCAGCCTGGTCTACAGAGTGAGTTCCAGGCATCTGGAACTACAGGAAGACCCTGTCTCAAAAAGTCAAAAAAAAAATGGTGTAAATATTAAATTTTATGTGTGTTTAATTACAGTTTTTTTTTAAAAGGCTTTGGGTAGATTTCTAAATACTGAAAAGATCTCCAAAGCACAATGTGGAACGTAAAGTAAAGGCAGATTTACATGCCTTCTGCTGTGTCTAGGTGCATAGGCAGTAGGAGTTCTTATCTGAGAAGGTCTAGCTTAAGGATAGCACCTGAAGAGGAATTTGTTCTAGGCTTTAGGGGAGAATATATTCTTTTTCTTAATTTTTATTTTATGTGTTTGCATGTATTGCCTGTATGGTAGGTAAAGGCACCCGTGTCATACAATACCCTTGGAGGTCAGAAGAGGCTGTCAGGTCCCCTGGGACTGGAGTTACAGACAGTTGTTTGCTCCCATGTGGGTGCTGGGATTCGAACCGGGGTCTTCTGCAAGAATAACCAGTGTTCTTAACCACTGAGCCATCTCTCCAGCCCCGAGAATATATTCTTATTTGAAGACGGGCTTTAAAATTTATAGCACTCTTCAGAATATCTTTAGAAAGAAAACTCAAGAAACCAGTCACACTGGCTCTCTCCACTGGGTGCTTGGGGGCAGATGGGAAAGACTTCACACTAGTCAGCTTTTTGTCCCTCTTGAACTAAGATATTCGCTGTAAATTAAAACTTACAAATTAAAAATTATAAAATTTTTCCTGAATTGATACTAAATTTAAAACAGACTTTTGTTCTTTGTGGCTCCTATAATTCATTCATTCTTCTTCTTTCAAAAAAAAAAAAAAAATCTTCCCGTCTGGCAGTGTTCCCAGAACGTCATTGTTAATGACTTTTTCCCATGGGATCATGTGTTCCAAACCACAAAGAATGTAAAACTTCACAGAAGTCCGAGTTTATATCCCATTTTGTATCACAGCGTTTCTGTGAAATAGATGGAAGTCTTTTGTATTTCTAAGTTCTCAGGAAAAATCAGAGCAAAGCTGGAAGGCAAGCTCACAGTCCCAACACCTTTAATCTTGAGTTCGTTGCCTTTCTGTCATGTGGTTGGTAGAATCTGTTAGGAACATGTATAGCTGGTACAATGGCACATGCCTGTAATTGTAATCCCAGCACTCAGGAGGCTGAGACAGGAAGATTTCAAGCTCTAGGTCAGCCTAGACTTCCTAGTGGGATAATATCTAAACAGAAGGGAGAAGAGGAGAGAGGAAAAGAAAAGGGAAAAGAGGGTGGTACATATGTATCAAAGGGAAGAAGTCTGAGTGAGATCATCTTCGTTTCACTCACCACACAACCGGTTTTAAAAAATGGTCAGCCCTCCTCATTTTCAGTGTTCAGAGTTACGCCAGGGAGAAATGAAGATGGCCAGCTTTAAAGTCCCTGTGCATTAGGAAGGCCCAGTGTCTCTAGTCCCTCCTCACCACCTCCCTGATGCATGCCCTGTGCTTATAACCTAGGTATGTACCTATAGGCATCATGTTTCTGATTGGAAGCAAGATTGTGGAAATGAAGGACATTGTCATGCTGGTGACCAGCCTCGGGAAATATATCTTCGCATCAATATTGGGCCATGTTATTCATGGAGGAATTGTTCTACCTCTGGTCTATTTTGCTTTTACACGGAAAAACCCATTCAGATTCCTCCTGGGCCTCCTCACACCATTTGCAACAGCATTTGCTACCTGCTCCAGGTGAGTGGGTTTAGGAACTACTTTGGCTACTCAGAACAATATCAGTGTGGAACCAAGTGAGCCCAGGGGTTCTCTTGGGAACATTTTGCACTGAGGCAAGCTGTGACTCTTGAGACATTCGGAGAAGGGGAGTCCTTGAAGTCATGTTAGAAATACTATGGGAGATGAAAAAGCCTTGTGCTATACCTGAAACCAAAACAGCTCTGGCTTTCCTCCTTGTTTCAAAGGAAGGAAGCCAGAAACTAGAACACGCTGTTGCTGGCTGATCTGTTCCAAGGCCTGGGATGAGTAGTGTTGGGAGGGGCTGTTCTCATAGTTGGTTGGTTGTTTTTCCCATTTCTAGCTCAGCAACCCTTCCTTCTATGATGAAGTGCATTGAAGAAAACAATGGTGTAGACAAGAGGATCAGCAGGTTTATTCTCCCCATTGGGGCCACCGTGAACATGGATGGAGCAGCCATCTTCCAGTGTGTGGCCGCAGTGTTCATTGCCCAGCTCAACAACGTGGAGCTGAGTGCAGGGCAGATTTTCACCATTCTGTGAGCATGTTATTCTTTCTTTCATCTTTAGGCCTGGCTTAAAACTTGAGGATTTTTTTTTTTCCTTGTGATTTCCTTTGAAAAACCAGTCTTGCCACCACTTAGCATCTCATTTAATTAAGACCGTGAGTCAGACCTGGTGGTGGCACATACCTTTAATCCCAGCACTCAGGAGGCAGAGGCAGATGGAGCTCCGTGAGATGGAGGCCAGGCTGGTCTACATAGTGAGTTCTAGGCCTGCTGGGGCTGCAGGAAGACCCTGTCTCAAAAAGAAAAAAAAAGAGAGAAAAGAAACGTAAAAGACCATGGGAATTCATCACAGTCATCACAGTATCTTAGGGGCTGGATTCATTACTTTTCGTGCTGCCTGCTTGGATAAAATACCTGAGAGAAAGCAATGGAAGGGAGGGAGGGAAGGAGGAAGGAAGGAGGAAGGAAGGAAGGAAAGCAGGCTATCCCATGGCTTACAGTCTGAGAGGACACAGTCCATCGTGGTGGGAAGGGCATGGCAGTGGGAGTATGAGACTGTTTGCTCACATCTGAGTGGATCAGGAAGCAGAGAGAGTTGACTGCTGGCACTCAGCTGCCTGTCTCCTTTTTCCCTTTTTATTTAGTCCAGTTCCCTAGCCTATTGGATGGTATCACACACATTCACAATGAGTCTGCCCATTTCAGCTAATCCTTTTTGGAAATCCCCCCCCCCACGAAAAAAACCACACCCAAAAGTGTGCCTCACTGATGCTCTTGGCACTTCTGAATTCAATTAACTTGACAATCCAAATTATCCGTCATAGGAACCTTAGTTACAGGTACCAAATTCCATAACACTTAAGCCTTATGTATAATGGGTACTTGTAGTAGTTAGTTTTTGCATTATTATGATAAAATACTTGACAAAAACTACATGAAAGATGAAATATTTATTTGGGCTCATGGTCTAGAGGGATTTTAGTCCATCATGGTAAAGGAAGATGGTGTCTTGTTTATACGGTAACAGACAGGAAGCTGGGAATGCAGGTCAGGAAATGAGGCAGGTATAATCTTCAAGGCCTATCCCTAGTGAACTACTTTGACCAGCCAGGCCCCACTTCTTAAAGGCTCCACAGCCTTCAAATTAGTGCCACCAGCTGGGAAATAAGCATCCAAAACATGAGCCTGTGGGCAGACATTTCAGACTCACGCCATAGTAGTATATGGTCTATATATGTGCCCGTATACTTTAAATCGTCTTATATTATTTACAATACCTAATAAAATATAAATGTTGTGTAAATAGTTGGTATACTGTATCCTGAGGAAATAATGGGGAGAAAATTATATATAGATGTTTAGGAGAGATACAGTTTGTTTTACCAGTTTTGATCTGTGGTTGGTTCAGTCCATGAATACAGACCCTAAGTATGTGGGGTCTCACTGTGCTTGACGAAAATATCTCTCCAGCTTTCAGAGTCTGAGTCTAGTTTTGTTTTTGTTTTGTTTTGTTTTTGTCTTTTTGAGACAGGGTCTCTCTGTAGCCCCAGCTGGCCTGGAACTCACTCTGTAGATCAAGCTGGCCTTGAACTCACAGAGATTCACCTGCTCCTGCCTCCCAAGTGCGGGGGTGTGGGGGTGGATTAAAGGTGTGTGCCACCACACCTGGCATCTAGTTTTCATTTATAAGCCATGGCTGCAGTGTTATGTGTTTCTCTGGGTCTCCTCCACGTGCTGTGAACATGACTGTCTTTGCTTTGCTGTTCCCTAGAGTGACAGCTACAGCATCCAGTGTTGGCGCAGCAGGCGTACCAGCTGGAGGGGTCCTCACCATCGCCATCATCCTAGAGGGCATTGGGCTACCCACACATGACCTCTCTCTAATCCTTGCTGTAGACTGGATTGTGTAAGTAATTAGTACTAAGGACCCTGGAATAAAGAAAGTTCTGTTGAGGCCTCTGGGAACCTGACACTCTACTAAGCCTGGGGCATGCAGAGAAACTTAAAACCTTCCTTGCCTTGGGACGGAGCCTATAGACTGACTTAGCCAGATTTAGAACTGAAAGATGAACAATGGTCAAGAGCCCATGAACATCCAGTAGTGTCACGAGACCACCCAGAATTTGCTTGTAGCATTCAATAGGTTCAAGGGCATTTGCAGGTGTTGACTGCAAGGAACATTAATTAGAATAGTGATTATCTCTTGGCCTGGAAACATCGAAGGAATGATTTCTATACAAGGAAAGCAATGATTTCTATACAAGGATGCCTTGTACTTAAACCCTAGAGAGAAGTTAGGCAAGGAGATGATCAGGCTGCTAGGGCTCCTTGTAGATGCACAAGAGTGTCTTATGGATTCCTTGAGCCTTGTGATGCCTTTTGTTATACAGGGAAAGGTGGCTAGGTAGTGACGTGGAGACAGCAGAGCCCATGGGTGAGGAAATGAGGCCTGGAGCCCAGGCTGTTCTGTGCATCTGCTCCTGGACTCACAGCAGAAACTATGCCACTGTTACGGTGAGGACTAAATGAGTCAGCATGTGTACAGTGCACAGAACACTGGGCACCTGGGACAGCATTTGGTAAACATTAGTGAGGAGGGACTTCCTGCTGGACTGGTCACAGCCAGGCTGACAGAACCTGTCTTCAGGTGCCTGGCACTGGGTCTGCCTGTGGTGGTTGGAAATGGTGGTCTTTCTGACTTAAAATAGCATGCTGACTTCTGAGGGCTCCTCTCAGAAATGGAGTGAAATAGCCAGTAGAGACTCCTGTGTTCTAGACACCTCAGCAGAAGCTCCATCCCCGAGCTGGGCAGAACCAGAGCAGTGTCTAGGATCTGTGTCTTCCCTCCCTCTGCTGCCACCTGTGCCTGAACAAGGCATCTCCTCCAAGGTGCTTAGTGAGACACCCTGCTGGCTGCCTACGCTGGCCCTTCAGTCACCTGCAGCCAGCAGTTCAGCCCTCCAGTGCCCTTGAGGGAGGGTCTTGTCTTCTTCCCTGCCTTCTAAAGGGCACAGGACCTTCTCTGAGCTCCAGTGATGGAAATAGATGCTGGGCTAACCTGTGCTGAGTAGGCTGTTGAAGAGCCAGGGCTGCTTTCTGTGATGTGGTGCTTGCCCACAGCTGTGGAGTGCACATGCACTTGGCATCCAGGAGTGAAGCGGGGCCAAGATGAGGATAAGTGTGACACTGAGGAAAGAAAACCATGTCTGCGCTTCCCTGGAATGTGTGCAGTGTTCTGTGATGGGGCCCACCATGTACAATGGGCATGTGCAGAAAGGTGACTGGAAAGAACTAGATTGCAGTGCTCACATCGACCCCCAGCATTGTGAAATATGCAAGGTGACTCCTTTGCTTCCTTCAGCTTCTCCTTCTCCCCATCTTTTCTATCATGAGAGTCTGTTACTTTTATAAGACTAAAAGAGAGAGATTCAGGGGCTGGAGAGGTGGCTCAGTGGTTCTTGCAGAGGACCTGGGTTCGGTTCCCAGCACCCAGTTGGTGGCTAACAATCATCCATAACTCCAGTTCCAGGGATCCAACGCCCTCTTCTGACCTCTGTGGGCATTGCGTGACACAGATGCACTTACATCCGTACAGGCAATACACTCGTACACATAAAATAAAATAAAATATTTTTAGAAGAATAAAAAATATTTTAAAAAATCAGTGTAGAACAGATCCCTTAGAGACATGCCCTCCAGCAAACAAACCCCTCCCAGTCACAACTTCCTGTGATCATCCTGCCTGTGACAGTGCGCTCCCCTTAGTGACCTGGATATGACATCTGCACTTTTCCCTTTCTATTTCCTCAGGGACCGAACCACCACTGTGGTAAATGTGGAAGGGGATGCCCTGGGAGCAGGGATCCTCAACCACCTGAATCAGAAGTCAATGAAGAAAGGTGAGCAGGAGCTCCAAGAGGTGAAGGTGGAGGCCATTCCCAACTACAAGTCTGAGGGGGAGACGTCACCGCTGGTGACACACCAGAACCCTGCAGGCCCTGCAGCCAGTGCTCTGGAACTTGAATCTAAGGAGTCAGTGCTGTGACACAGCTGAGTTGCTAGCCAAACTGCTAGTTCTGGCAGCCTGCCCTGGTAGCCTGCCTCATTATTTAGAAGTGGGCATGGCCGTCACGGACTTTGAGTTTCTCAAGCAATGCTTTGCCCAATCACCAATTTGAGGGTGACCTCTTGGCACAGGCATTGGGCTCCCAGGCCAGAACTGTTTACCAAGGATCAGGACACTCTGATGGTTGGCTTGATCCATGTCTCAGTGCAGCTGCAGATACACCCTGACTCTGTTTGGAAACACCCCCTTGAGCTGCCAGGCCTACATGGAGTCCTGTAGGCGAAGCTTGGGGACATGCAGATGCATTCTTCATTGCCCCCTGGTTAGCTACATCGGGTGTTTTCTGGGCAAACCAGTTGTCTGTCACATTGCCTCATCAGCAGTAGTCATTGGAGAAATTCTCAAATTCTTTGACTGGGCTGGAATTTCCTGAGCTGAGACTTCAGTTTTTTTTTTTTTTTAAATTGTGCTCCACTTGTATAGATGGCTTCTGGGGGGCTTCCCAGTGCCAGGTCATAAATACACCAAGTAGGTTAGGATGGCTGGGGCCTCAGGAGCTTGAGTGAACCATATAAATTCTGAGGTCAGGGAAAGGAGTTGAGGGGGGGCCCTAATTATTACAAGATACAATCAGGGTGGGGAGTACCCTGATTAGGGCAAGAAACAGGGCTGTGCCCATCCTAGCCCTATGGCACTTCTCTGCTTCCTTCTGAGGCCTGGGTCTCTGTGAGCACTTCATCTTTATCTCCATTTTGGTTTGGCAACAGGCCCTGGGGACCTCTTTCTCTAGGAGGTGTCATGTGGTCACTGCATTGTTGACCCATATTGGTTAATCAGTCTGTTAGTATGGTTTATAGATCCTATGGTTGTAGATCCTCTCTAAAATGCTACAGGGCAGCCAAGAACAAAATCACAGGACTTCTCCTCACCCAGTCAACCCATGCACTAATCAAAGGGGAGCTCCTGTTCTCAGGTCCCCTAGCTTTGACTGATTTCCACAGGTGTGGACTTGCTTCTGTGTGACCGGTGGCAAGTCCTGGATCCTGTCACCTGTTCTTACCTACATCAGTGGGATCTGGTGAGGCAAGCTCTAAATCTGAAAACGGTCATTTTGTTGCTTGGAAATCAAGTCTTAACACCTGTACGCTTTCAACTTACCTGAGGGACAGCTTTCTCCAGGGAGCACAGCCACTGGTGAGGGCAGCTTTCCTGAAAGAGCTCTGTCCTCTTCATGCCTCAGCACTCATTCCCAAGAGTCGTTTGATAGCATTGAAGCTGCCTCTTCCCTGGCGTGCTACCCACTGTCCACCACATCTCTCTTGTTGTACCCCCAGGTCCAGGCCCCATTTCTGCTGCCCCACCCATGGCAGGAGATTAAGCCCCAGATGTCACCCTTACTCATTCTCTTGCTTGCCCTGGTGTGTGTATCACTGAAACCCACAGACTTGGGACAGAGACCACTTTACAGTGGGACCTATGCCTGAGTGGAGGGATGGGAACAACCCATGGGAAACAGAACCCATGCAGCCAGTAAGAAGGCCTGGCTCTCTTTAAATCAACTGGGCCACTCCACTCTCCAGTGGGGACAGGAGTGTCCAGGAAGGAACCAAGAAGAGAGTGGCCTGGGATCTTGGGCCCCTGGCCAGAGCTTGTTGCCAACACTGTTTTTAAAAGAAGAAACAATCACATCATTTGATTACTAACTACAAATGAGCATTTGTTAATTTTTGGGCTTCAGTGAATCTTTTTCCTTCTTACATATATTATGTATTTCCTTACATATATTATGTCTATATACATACACATATGTATGTCTATGTGTGGTATGTGTATGTGTGTGCGTGTACATGTGCGGTTTTAGCTCCAACCCAAGCAAGTTTGAGTTTGGATAGAGGAGTACTAAACTACAAGCTATATCTTTGCCATTCTGATTTTCCCATTTTTAAGAGGAATCATTAAATTGGGATTGGAGCTATACTCATGTCCCATCCTAGACCCACAGTGAAGAATGCTGCTGGGGTCTGGAGGAGGATAACCTTTGGAGGCCAGAAGAAGAGGGAGGAGGTGCCGGGTCTCTGATTTGGGGCCCACAGAGGAATCCAGGCAGTTGGTAACTGAGGAAAATTCCACCATGACTGTCTGAAATATGTCCCTGCTGTTCTCTAACATGTAAATAACCATTCATCTCTGACGTTTTGTATATGTGTGATACCGGCCTTAAAACATAGCACGGTCATCAAAAATGAATACAGTATTTTTACTGGCACCTACATGTCTTTGATTCCTAGCTTGTGTTTGAAAAAGTACTTCCCAATGGGCTATTGCTTTTCTAGGGGATCATCTGAGGGGGCCTAGTTGCTTTTCTTTCTTTTTTCAGCCAGCGTGAGAGCACCTGAGGCAGGCAGGGTTGGTTCACACAGGTGGGCAAATTCCCTCTGGGAACTGGTATCTCTCTCTGGTCCTCTGTGGCCACCAGCCGGCAGCTGGTGAAGGCCCAGGCTGTGCCTGGGTCTCTCACTCCACATGAGCAGGACTTTTGCTGAAAGTGTGTGGGTTTGCCACAGACCTCTAAAATTAGGTCTTGTCAAAACAACTAGGTTGAGAGGAATTAATTAAGCATCCATAAACCAAGCATCAGAGCAGGAATGGTAAAGAAAGCCTGAGGGCATATAGTTACAGGGAAAGCCCCTATTGGGAAAGCCATAGCCACAGCAGGCAGGTAGACAGCTGCCCATGCTTGTACCCAGGGTCACCACACCCAGCATATAATCTAGTCTTCATTTAAAAGTTTTGCTTGTCTCTTAAGACAGGGTATTGCTATGTGCTATAGGCTGGCCTTGAACTAGTGGGAATCCTGCCTTAGCTTCCCAAGCACTAGGGTTATAGGCATGTTGCCTCTTACATAATTCTGTTTTCAGTGACATCATATTCCAGCACAAAGAAGGAACTTTAGCAGCTCTGGTGAGGGGATTATTTGACAAGCTTACACTGGAAGAAACAAGTTCCTGTTCTGACCTGGATGTTTCCAGTTCTTCATATAATAGGAAATTGGCTTTAATTCCTGGGCAAAGATTGGAAGAGTTTGTGTAGGCCTGATGGGACCTGTGGCAAACACCAGTTCCTCCCTGGAACATGGGTGTCTTGATTCACCTCTACAGAGTGTTCAGAGGTGGGGATCAGTCTTGGTGATCAGCTTGCCAGAGTAGCCAAACGAAGAGCAACAGTTCCACTGGTCAAGCCGCCCTTGCCCAGGTGACCAAGAAGAGTGCTGGCCTGTTGGAACACACCTGCCCAGAGGAAATTCCAATTATCTCTGTGAAGAGCAGATGAGTTCATGTGTGTAGGTGCTCAGGCAAGCACCTGGCACATAGGCTATGATGTGTTCAAGTTGATTTTCACATCAATGGCTGGAAATGTTCTTCACCAACCTGGGTCCTTTTGTGCCTGGGCCCGCCGTGTTATATGAACTTTGTGGGGTGTGTGTGTGTGTGTGTGTGTCTAGATGAAAAAACATTTATCCCAGATGGAGCACCAACAACAGACAAAATTTCACTGAAGCCTAACTTAGTAAAACAGTGAGTTTAATTAGGGTTACTTACATGAACATGGTGAAGGATTTGCAGGATCACAGGTAACTTATAGGCAGCTACACTACTGAAGAAAAGTCTCCAGCAACTGTTAGCTGCCATCAATCTTGGGGTGGAGTCTGGCCTCATGAAGACCCCCATCCCATGATGGCAAATGACTGGTGCAGGTCTCCTTCAGGTTAGCACGGCTGTTCATGGTGCACAAGTGCAATGAACAAGTTATGTGCAAGGACAGGGTTCTGCAACACTCCACCCCATGCCCACTCTTAACATTCTTTCCACTCCCACTTCCCTGGTGTCCCCTGAGCTTTGGAAATGATAGAGCTGTCCCATTTAGGCCTGGGCATTCAAGAGTCACTTATTCTTAGCAGTTTGATCACTTACGAATCTCTGCAGTAACTGCCATCCACCAGAAAAAGAAGCTTCTCTGACTCAAGATGATAGCAGCACTAATCTGCGGACATGAGCATAAATTTTTTAGAAGGCAATTTGACAGTCACCCATTTATCAAAACAACAGAATAGCTTCCCCGCTAGAGCCTCTGACCTCCCCAGCCACAGGTTTCAGACCAGGCTTACAGGACCACATTGTGAATTCCCTCCTTAAATTCAGGCAGAAAGCAGCTGGCTATACCCCTAACAGTCACATTGCACCAGTGGGCTTATCTTGCCTGGTGTATTGGTGGTATAGAATGCAGGGTCCACAGTTGAGTAGGATTGTTGAGGACATTGTTCTCCCAGCAGCCTGCACAATGCGGTCAGGCTAGCAGGGAAGCTTACAGATCCCAACTTGATGTCTCCCTGTCCTGCAGCAAAGCCTAGAGTGTCTTTAGCCATGGGGTTTTTCCCATCCAGTTCTGGTGAGCAACAAATAGCAGTGACAAATAGCATGTATTGTTTGGGGGATCCCTGGGCCTCCCTGGCCAACAACTAGGAAGACAGACTGTCCCTGGCACTAGGATTTCATTTAATAACCCTAAGGCTTCTAGGAACATTTTTTCCAATGTAGCTTCATTCAAACACTTTGTTTTAATGTTTACAGCACGGGCTGTTGGAGGGCTTTTTTCATTCACCTTGTTGGGTGTTATCCATGCCTTATTCAACCACAAAGCTCCTAAGAATTTCACAGGTGTACCTGGACCATGCATTCTGTGTGAAGCTGTTTCCCATCCTTGCTCCTTAGATGTGCTTTCACACCTTTCAGGTACTTTTCTAAATCTGTAACTAGAGGTTAGTGTTCCTATCATCTGTGAAATAAATCCTTTCTGCAGAAAGTGGGCAGGACCACTGAAGTCCCAGCACCCACCGTTCCTAGCAAATGCCATTTGATCTCAGCAGTGAGCAGCTGAAGGGATAGTAGAGAAAACTGTTAGCAGGGTTCAACACAGCATGGAAGGTTCCATCGTTTGTATTGATTGTTTCTTCAAAAGATCGGTGCTGGGCACCATGGCCTGGGTGAGAGGCACTACCTCAGTTAGCCCTCCCCAGCCCAATCATTGTCCATGCGCCGTCCTGCCTTTTTGTTGTTGGGTGCTGTCACAGGGTTATCATGCATCTTCCCACCTCCAGGAGGCTCGATGGAGCTGGGGTGCCGAGCGCCCCGCAAGCCCACCAGGCTTGGCGCTTCAACAAGAGAAGAGTCAAGACAAAGGTCTCGATTTTATAAAAAGTTTAATTCGTTAACAGGTGAGCAATCACGGAATGGCTTTTTTTTTTTTTTTTTTTTTTTTTTTTTGTGAGGAACACAGATCTTATATAGGAATCAGATTTGGGGTAACCAAGGAATCACCAAGGATATTTTACTAACAGAAAGTAACCAAGGATGCAGCACGTAGCTGCATCACACCACCAAGCCGGAAACGAAACTAAGTTTCCAGAGTACCTAATTACTCACAGAGGCATAGCCTGTCAGCTCAAACCGCTGAAGCAGAGAGCTTAGAAGCTCTTAAAGTGGCAGTCTTCTGTTCTTCAATGCTTAAGTCAAGCAGGGCTCCTGACACTGGGGCTGGCTGTCCATGCTCTAACTGACCTAGGGCCCAGGGAAGCACAGCTGTGCCCTCACCTGCTGTACCCCTGCAGGCTCCTGGGCCTGTCTTTGGGCCCAAGCAGGGGCTCTCTGCTACCTCTCCCTTGGACATGCCTGGCTACAGACAGGTCCTGGGTGAGGGGAACAGTTTCTACCCTGGTATACTTTCTTGCAGAAGAGACATGTGCACAGATAGGTTACTGTGCAGTGAGAACTGCCCACCCACGTGACGAGCTCTTTTCACCTGCATTGCCCTATCATTTATACCTTCACTAAGCCTTGCCCAGGCTTCAGAGCCTTCCAAAGGCACACAGCACCAAATTTTACTTTCTGTCATATATTTTTTTCCCTAGAAATTCCAGCTTGACTCAAATCTTGCCATATTTGCTCCTAAGTGACCCAGATGGGTCTCTTGGTTAGCATTTCCCTTTTTCTCATGTCCTCTTGGTTTCAAACCTGATTTACTTTTACCTTACAAACCTGATTTACATGCCAGTCTAAATCATTCAGACTGTATTAGTTACTTTTCTGTTGCTGTGATAAAACACTGTGACCAAGGGAACTTATCAAAGGAAGAGTTTATTTGAGCTTATGGTTCCAGAGGAATTAGTCTGCCATGGTGGGAAGGTGTAGTGGCAGGAGGTGGCCAGGGCAAAAAGAGGAGTGCTCATATCGTGCATCAGGTACAGGAGGTGGGGAGAGACTGGAGATCCTGCAGGGCTTAAGAACTCTCTAAGCCCACCTCCAATGACGTGCTTCCTCCAGCATGACTACACCTTCTAAGACCTCCCAAAACAGTGCCCACTGGGGACACAATGTCCAAAATCCTTGGAGCCCATAGGGGACCTTCTCATTCAAACCACCACACAGACCTTCAAAAATATCTCCTACCTTGTAAAGATTGCAGCTCATCATGGAGCTCAGCAAAGCCACTAGGTCAGTCCTGAAGTCCTTGTTGGATCAACCCCTTTTTTAACTCTCCTGTGCACACAGTCCAGTCTGAAACATTGCCTCTCTTACACCCAGTTCTCTCAGAAACGCCTGTCTTTCCTCTATTCTAGTCTCTAATGTTTGTGGGAACTCCAGCCAGTTATTACTATAACCAAGTGGACCTAGGAGCCACTTGACTTCCCTCACATTGCCTCAGGTTCTACAGCTTTTGTCTCAAGGAAGAAGGGCAGTTACGTTACTCAACTTCTCCGTGTCCACAGCACTCAGATTGGTCCCATTCTCCCCAGCCCCCACAGCCACACAAGCCAAGGCTATGAGAGGCTTCCTCATTTCTTGTTTAAAATTCTTTTCCAATTCAAATAGCTCAGAGACAGAATATTCCCCAATTACCATAGTTTTCGGCACTGGGTTATTACAAAGGCCCCCATCTGCGTGCCGTACCCTGGATTTTCCCTTCCTCTGTATCAAAGGTCAGAGCTGAGGAATATCTTCCATCACTTCTGGCTTACTCTCTCCTCACTGAGTGATTTTTTTCCATGGGTTCCACGTCTCTGGACCCTGGGAGGCTATTCAGCACAGATCTGATTTGTACTCCCTTTCCCCCTCAGCCCTAAGAAACAGCAATTCTGTCATTCTCTCTTCATTTTTCCCGAAAATTCATCAGCTAATGTGGAGGATAACACCCACATGTCTCTTTCTCATT